TTGATACTAGCTTATGAAGGGCTTGCTTTTGCTGTGCTTGGTAGAGTGAAGGGAAGGAGGAAGTCATGCTTTCTGCCTCCCCATGAAAAGGATGGATTTTTATCATGCATTGATAATCCATGTTTTATCCATATAGGTTTTACAGACCAAGCAGTGTTCCACCTCTTCCCTTGACATACACTCTGCAAATACACATAACTGGTTTTTTTTCCTCTTAATTGTGAGTTTTCCTGCATGGAGTTGTATCTGATTGTTGTGATAGAGTCCAGTGCTCAGGATAACATAATTCTCACTTTTGGAGCTTGGAGCTCCTGGGGAGGCTGCAGGCATTGGCCTGTCACCCTCCCATCTTCCCTTAGCCAGAAGAGTCCCCTTAACTCTTCATCTTTATTTTCTGGTTGGTTACTTTTCTGTTGCAGTTATCTGAACTCCTTCTGACTTGTCTGTATTTGCAGATGTGCACAGATATTCTGGGGGACAGAGTATTTTTGTTGGACCTTCCTTTCACAGGATAAAAGACATTGATTTTCTGCTGCAAACCTGCTTTTTGCCTTTTTTGCCCTGCTGTGTCCCACTGTAATGTGTTTACTGTGGGCTTTTACATAGTGCCCATTACTATGGTATATATATTTTGGATTTTATATGTATGTATATAAAAAAACGTGACCAGCATGGCCATTGTGTCTTCTTCAGAATGGTTTTATTTTTATTTTTATAATGCTTACTTTTATTTATGAAGCTAAACTGAAGAACCTCATCTAGTACACTCATATTTAACTTGCCATCTATTGTAACATCTGTTATTTTCAACACTGCTGCTTCCCAGATTTCGCCCTCCCACTGCATGGGTTTTTTGGATCATTTCCCTTCACTTGTCTTAGCCTGCTTTTTTCCAGAATGAATCTCATTTGATTATTTTCAGACTGCATTTCTATTCTCTCTAAGTCCCTGTGCATTATTTCCTTTTCCCCGTTATTTTTGCAGCTCCTCCAAATGCAGTATTTCCTGGAGATTTAAGTTAGCATGCTGTCTAGTCTCTTCTGGATCTTTAAAGAAAATACCAAGTGAAATAGGACCTAATACAGGTCTTTGCAGTATTGCACCTTCTTCCAATGTTATTGTTTGCTTTTATCGTGATTTATTTGCATCCAGTTTTCAAATCCAGCCATAGCATTCATCTCAAAGTGCAAATCACTATCAAATGTTTACTAAAAATCGAACACATGACATCTGCTCTTTTCCCTCCGACTCCTGGTGCTGTAATGCTAACCAGAAAAGGGGCCAATTTCTAGCCAGTTCTGCTCTTCTGAATAGAAATCACGGTTTCATTGTCCTCAGGCTTGCAGCCTGCTTTACTTTATAGGAAGCCTCATGAATTAAAACAGCTGTGCGGCCTGCTCTAAAATTTCGTTCTGTGGAGAAACAGAGCTGAGGAGGAAACAAGTGGAGTTTATGCATGTGAGGGGGGAGAAAGAGAGAATAGGGATTATGTGCATGTGGAGAGAAGGGAAGTCACTTTTATCTGCCTGTGTAAGATATGTAACTGAATGATGGCAATAAGATGTATTTCTGCAGAACTGATCGAATCTCTGAAGATTCCATCAGAAGCCACCTCCTAGCTGGGCATCTTGTAAAATTCTTCTGCTTCAACTATTAGCCAGGTATCCGTGACACAGAAAAACTAATGCTTAAGGGATGTGGTAAAAGGACTCTTCTCAGTCTTGAGTACAACAGGTGAACAGTTGTTTTGGGTAAGAAACAAAGGAATTGAGACAAACATGAGGAGATGACAGAGACCATAGGATAAAAAGTGAGAGCATGCTTAGCCAAGTATTCTTTCAGTGGGAAATGTGAGTTATAGTCCCTGGAGATCATGCAAAAGGCATTGCATTCATGGCTTTTTGCTTTGACCTGGCCATAATAAAATCTCAAAAGTTTCTGGTGACAGTAATGCCTGCACTGCACTGGTTAGAACAGTATTTTATACCAGTGATTTAAAAAGATTGTTAGTACCCCTTTTCAGCTGGGGCAAGCGGCTGGGAGCAGGCAGAAATAAATTTTTCTAAAAAGTCTCTGCCTATATTATTGGGTTGCATACTATTGCCTCTTGCTCTTGCCTGCATCCCCTCTTCCCCCCGGCTTCTGCTACCTGCTCACAGTCTAGGCTGGACCACCTCCTGTGATGGGGAGGATGGCACATGGCAGTGTTTCAGCCTGAGTGTTGATATCTGGTGTGTTGGGTCCCTGGTGGAGAGCAGGATGGGGCTAGGGAGAAGCTTAGGCTGTGCTTTGTGCTGGTGAAGGAGTATGAGTTGGCCTGCAGGTGAGAAGTGTGTCTGTCCAAATCTTGGGGAAAGTAGGGGTGTGGTTTTGTTTTGAGTTTTTCTTGCTAGAAGTGCAGCTTGAGTAATAAACACAAATACTACTATTGAGGCTCCCGATCTAAGCTTTAAAAATTATTCCTAGTATGTTCAGTACTGTTTGAGACATCAGAGAAACTGAATCTAGCAAGATGCTATGAAGAGATGTTAGAAGCTATGTTTTGTAATATCCTTACAAATTTTCATATATTGTACTGACAGCATATGCCTTCAGCATTGTGGCAACTGCAGGCCTAGATACACCTCACAAATGCCCTCATTGTTTTCCTACTCTGTGCTACATTTTCCACATGAAAAATCCCTTTTTCTTTGATGGCTGCACTAAAGCACTAGGACTAAAAGGACTGTAGCTACCTCGAGGTTTGCAGTTCCAGGCTTTATACCTGTGGTTATTGGACCACATGGGTCTGTGGTCTGTCTCCCTACTTCCTCCTCCCCCTCTCCCCAAGTACAGACCTAAGCTGAACAACTCAGACCTAAAGACCAAGTCCAGACCTAACTCATGCTACCTCACAGCCTTTGACTTTGTTCTCTTTGCTGAAACAGCACATTTCATAGATTTTGACCAAGTCAGAAAGCATCAAGGGGTGGTCTGAGGTACACAGAGCAACCTGGGGGTTGGCATCTGCTGATGTACCCCTTCATCACAGCTGTGCAGGTGTGACTGGAGCTTCCCAGCTCTGCAAGCCCCAAGAGTGGGACTGGTGGTGGTCTCCCTCCTCTGCCTGCTCTGCTCAATGTAGCCAGTAGGTCGGTTCAGTCTCTGCTGAGTACTGCTACAACCAAATGATTTGTTTTTGCTTTGCTTTATTATTTACTACGATGATCAAAGGAGCTACTCCTTGTGATCATAAAGAGAAGCCTTAAAATCTTATTTAAGAGCACAAATATTTTGGGCTTTGACAGATGTGCTTTGAAAGTAACACAGATGTGCAGTGTCAAATTTCACCGCTGCATGCAGTGTCTTTGTTTCAAACTGTAAATTTGGCTGGTAGTGCTGGGCATATGCTTTCCCAAAACCTTGCCCCCTGCAACACAGGAAGAACAAGTTTCTGGGTTGTGGGTTCCCCCCCTCCCCC